TGGTTAAGGTCGAGTTTCGACTCACGGAGTATCCGTGCTCGTGCATCTGTATCTTTAGTGCCTAATACTATTCGATCCCTGATAAGGTCATCGTGTAGAATGCCAAATTCACATGAGGAGGCGAGTCGACGGAGCATACCAACGTATTGGTCGAGGCTTTCTGAATTCTCTTGGTTTGTGGTGTTAAATATATACCGTTCGTACATGACGTTCCTTGTCGGAAGAAAAATGTTTTCTGATGCTCTGATAATGAGGTTGGGGTCCTTTTTTGTCTTAATCTGAGAGATCCAAGTACTCTTTGCACTCTAAGGCACTCTTTACCCATCAAACTCAATAAAGTTGCAGCCACGATTTTGACAACTTTTTGTGTTAAGTTCAACAGCAGCTGCATAATTTTCCCACTGAAAGCAAAAGAATGTCCAGTTTACATCTAGATCCCTTAAAGTCCATAGGAGTAGGCGCGGGAAAGTTGCTGGATGACATTTTGAAGTGTTTACGGTAAAGTCTGTATAGTTGTCAAGATTTCACTGCTTTACATTTAATGCAGATATCAAGAGTTCATCAGACACATATACTCAGCAGCAAAAACGTGGGTACAATTCGAAATTATATAATTAGGCACATTACAAAAATAGACATAATAAGCGGATCAAAAACATTTTTGTGTACAATATCTTGATACAACAATGAATAACTAAGTACAATTTCAAGACATTGCGTGAACATTTGCAGTCCATTCAGACTCTTGACTTCAGTATCTAGTGTGACCGCCACGAGCGGCAATAACTGCAGCACAGCTTCTATGCTTGAGTGCACCAATCGATTGATGAAGGCCATTGGCACCTGGAACAAGACTCTGGGAAAGGCCTGGCGCAATAAATCGGCTGTGTTCGGCCTTGGTATGAAATTATTTAGTCTCCTCTGAATTTCATCGCAAAGATGTTCAAATGGGTTTAAATCAGGATTAAAGGCTGGTCACGCCTAAAGTTGACACCGTTTTGCTGTAAGAAGTCGACCGCCTACGTGGTGTAGTGGTTAGAGCTTCCGCCCGAGATTTGAAGGTCGCGGGTTCGATCCCCGACCACGTCATAACAAAAGACGTTAAAATATGGTACTTGTTGGTCCCTGCCTGGCGCTCGGCATTTATGGGTACAACAAGGACTGGTCGGCTCAGAGTCAGTATAATGTGTCTGAGTGGGGTATTCATGCTTCACTGCGGCATGGTTTCAGTGTGCTAGCACTATAAAACCAGCTTAAGTCTGGGCTAGTACAAGCAGCCGCACATACACATACACACGCATGCACATCGTCATATGAGCGAATATTCTCAAGCACGACGTTAAACCCAATTTCACCTCACCCTCACCTGTAGGAAGTCCCGTTAAGTTCTGGCAGTATGGGCCCGGGCGTTACCATGCTGGGAAATGTTGTTCCGGTGACGTGCGAAATGTGGTATGACGTGGGGTCTGAGAGCTTGGTCGATGTAGCGCACCACTGTGATGCCGCCTCTTCTCCCCTGACCAAGGCTCTAGAACACCACAGGACGCACTCTCTGGGCTATTCCATCCCATACCATGTTGCTTGACCTCCCAACGAGTCTCTTTCCATAACACATTGGTCTGAGTAACGATCGTCACGTCGTCGCCATATTCTTGTTCTGCCATCTGCAGTTGATACGCAGTACCGACTCTCATCTGTGAACATAACAGTTCTCCATTACCACGAGGGGTGAGGATAGGTCCACGGTAAGGTCTACGGCAATGGAGGTTCCCACTGCGTGGCGTGCTGTTTCGGATGCCTGCATGAAGGGATTCAGTACATGCTGTCGTACAACATGGCGGTCTTGTCGTCTTGTAGTACAGGGGCGATCATTTGTGGTGTCGGTGGCCCGGAAACGTTGCTGCAGCCTGTAGATGGTCCGAACGTTGACGTGGAAGTGATTGGCAATGGCTTGTGCAGTGTGGCCTGGTTCCTCCCAGCTGTCGTGAGTCGCGGCATCCTGCTGATGTTGTAATGTAAATGTTTCAACCAGGTTTGGGGGTGCATTATATACGGCTGGTCCTTGTGAACAGCACGTGCAGCATGAGTTGCACGAAAACATGGAGAACACCGTACCATCTCCGAGATGAGGTTGCGTTTTGAGACCATTTCCTGGGTTCAATTCTGAGTTTGGGAAGGAATGTCTTTGCTCAGGTAAAGTTGGAGATGTTGTCAAAAAATACTAAATCAAAACATTAAATGAGTTTACAGTTATTCGTTTCTGCGAAGGAAAATTCCAAACTGACGGGGTTTTTACTGCTTAGTATAGATCAAGCTCTCTAATACCATAAAGCGCCATGTTTGAGTGAAGAATTCTCAAATGTTTATGTTGCAAGACCTCTGCTGTATAGCTAACCTGCTGACGAAACCACGTGTACGAGTTCCGCAAAACTTCAGAACTGTAAAGCAGACTTGACCCGGTCGTTTCAGGCCAAGCTGCTGCATCCAGGCTTGACACCCAATCGAAGTTGTAGGAAGGTCTCGAAGGTTTTATTTTCTCAACTTCCACCAACGGTGGTACATGAGTGAACTGGAAAACATTATATACACACAGACACCAAGATGGCATCGGAGGGATATAATTGAGGCAGGATAATGTACAATACAATATACATGTACATACATATTCATATATACAAGGGTGTCATTAGAGAATGATACAAACATTTAATTACATAAATATTTATATCTAAACTTCTATTGATACATTTAATAAATTTTGACAAGTGTTTAACATATTTAGCTTTCTTTGAACAAAGTAATCTTTTGAGTGTATAAAGGTTAGGCCAGGTATTGACATACTGAGGTAAGGTTTGTAACGGAGGTCTCCGACATTTCGTTGCGACGGGTGGAGTCGAAATTTAGTGCTTATGAACGCGCCACTTCTGACACCATGTTCCTGTTCTTGGCGTTTTATTTATTATGGCCGCGTGTACACGGACCCGGTTAAACATACATCCACAGCCAGATACATACAAAGCTAGGATCGTTATCTAACACGGAATAGTACTGATCTCGTTACAACTATCATCTACCTACAAAATCTGAACACGATAATATTCCTCAACTAACCACCTGAACCCATTAGTTCTCTTATATGACATATGTGGAATACTGTTAGCTCAAATTGGCAATGTCCCAGACATACATGAACCATGTCTAGACCTTGAATTTTTACTACCTTGCGCTGCCGAGAATACAAATTAAACAAAGCAATAACACTCTTCCATAATCATTTGAAATATCACTTAACAGCAGAATCCACTGTAGATCTGAAGTATGATACCAGTCGTTAAGTAAAGGGTGAGTGTATCTTTCCCCATCAGCAGCACTCGACCAACAAATATCCGCCTCAGTAGGTTGATGCTCTGGGGGATATGACTCTAATCAGCACACAAGTCCGTCTTGGGGTCCACACGATTTATTCTGGTCTAGTTACAAGGGGTGGCTCTGAACTCTGAGTTTCAGTCCGAACTGCCCAGCACTGCTGGTTCACAATCATTTATACCATCCATTAATTGACATAGCTGACATTCCTTGCCCGTACCCGGCTTTTCCCCCATTCCATGTTTGGTGTAGGTCCCTGTGGTCAGTTTGTGTCTTTCGCCAGGGTTATATCTTCCCCATCGGATTCTTGACCGATGGGGGAGGGGTGACTCATGTCGCCAATTCGGGTTCCCTAATACGGAGACCGATCCGTGATTCTTGCTGCTCTAATATATATAATGATTTTTTTTACATTTAGGATATTATATTTCCCATGTTTTTGTCCTTCGAGGTAAACTATTTCCTTTCCTGTGCGTGTGTTACTGCCACGCATAGTCACTATTTCATCGTGATTCACAAACACAATAGTCAGATACGTATATGGGTTGAGTGAGTTTTTAATGACTATTGAAATCTTTACTGTCGATTTATATATGATTGACAGAGTGTTTTGTCGTGTTGAGTTTTTTGTCATGATCGTGGTTTAATGCATATTAGTGTATAGTAAATCGTCTTTATTCAACCCGTGAAGATCCGGGTTGGAATTGGTCTTCAGTAACCCGTGCTTGTCGTAAGAGACGACTAACGGCCAGGCTAGCTGACTTGTTGACACATGCCATCGTATCCCAATTGCGTAGATCGATGCTCATACTTTTGATCACTAGATTGTCTGGTCTGATTATTTACAGACCGCCGCCATATTGTTTGAATAATGCTGAGTGCGGCATAAAACTAAACTCACTCACTCACTTGTCTTATTCCCTAAAGTTATACAGCAACAGTTTACACATACAAAGTGTTTTCTGTCCATTTATTTACTTCAAAACACCATGGGTGTATTTTAAACGATTCTCAGAGTGTACTGGCTGGTTGTAACATGTTAGGAGCGTAACAGTGTCTTGAGCGTATGTAATAATTTGGGATATCATCTGTCGATTCCATCTCAAAATAGACAGTATGTGCTTGTTGTAAGACAGCTAAACGGATAAGGTGATAAGCCTTGTGGCCTTGATTGTGTCACAAGACATGACATGGAGAATGAGGGTATAATATGGTGCTCCATTCTGAAACAGTACCCACTTTCTCCAGAATGTAAATAACATTGTTATTATAATTACACGTATGTAATAATAATTATATTTTCTCCCTGAAGGACTAATATGAGCTGATGATGAGGAAAGCCAGTACAGATTGTGTAAGGACCGTCCGAAACAATCGCTCTTTGGTGCATTTTGTATTTTTTTTCTAGATACAATGAAATTAATTTATTGTATATACAATTATGTTTGCAGTTCTGTGAAATGATCAATGTACTAACTGAACATCGCTATAATGATTTAAACACTGAAAGTGATTGCCCGTAATATTCTCTGATACCATACATATGCACCTAATACGTAATATTATAATAATCAGCTACCTAAACATCAAAGCATGTTATAATGTTAAAAGTGTTTATCAGATATATATGTATAGTTGAAGGACATGAATACATTTTAATTAATGTTACAATTATATAAGAAGGGCTTCAATAGGCAGGCCCACGAAAGTCTTCGAACAGTGGAATCAGCTCCCTTGAGGTAAGAACATGTGTAATGTCCGACTTTCATTTTGACATTGTGTATTAGGACTAGGCACAAATTTGGCAACTTTTACAAAGGATTAACGTCATTAGCATTATTTAACATAACAATTGAACTGTGTACAGAAGAAGCCGTTGAGAATTCATTCATTTCAAATATATTTAATATTTTTTAGATCAATCAGTTGAGATGGGAGCTCCATTTTGTAAAACCGACTTAACAGGGGCACCCTCGTTTTCTCAAATTCATTTGTGCAGTTTTATGTAATGGACATTCTCTGAATAATTCATGCTTTAACTTAGTGCTTAAGTAGCGCTATTGTGTAAGCAATAGACTGAACTTCCTTCAGCCACAGTAAAAGTAAGAATGGGAGCTTACCGTTATGGATTCCCTGGGGGAATTATTTCAGAAATTTTATTTTAACAGAAAACATCACTGAATACAATATCTCTCTGTTTTCAATTTTCGGTATGTTATCGTTTATTAAATTTTCATATGGATGATTTTTTTATGGGATCATAAATAATAATGAATGTGTGACGACTAAGACAGACTGCCATGTCCCAAAATGTCAATTCCAGTAGTTTCCTTGTTTGTACAAGTTAAGCATGACAACGGAAAAGATTACAGCCTTGACTATTTGCCTGAATACAAGTTTGATATTCTTAACGATTTTTATAAAATGGAATAATCCTTTATTTGACGATTTAGACGTTACTATTGGAGATAAATTATCAAAGATTGATCATTTCCCTAAATACAAACCGGATATGTTGGAAGATTTTCATACAAACTAATATACATATTTTTGAAATGTCGAAATGGACTTTCTGGGGAAAATATTCAATTTAAATCTTCATAGGCGGAAAGTGATATCAGTGGCAGAGCAGTACAATATTCAATTTATTTCAGTATTTACTGTTGACATATATAGATCCAATATTCATTTTAATTTCCTATATACAGTATCGTTTTGTGACTTGTATATGTATACAGACCAAGGCAACCAACACGAGTAGCTTTCTACCTTGATAACTGTATGACTTCGTCTTACTTTCCTTCTGTTGACACAATTTTATTCTCTATTCATTCGACAAACGTTCCTTTCCTTGTCATTTTCTCGCATTCTAAAACATTGATTATAATTAATAATAGTACATTCACATAAAGTTTGCATCATTACTATTTGGGGGCATAGAGATGTATGCGTACATATATGGAGCATTCTTCTGATAGATATAGTGTAACATTTTGTGTAGTTTTATTTATGATTTCATTTTGTATGCATATTTGTTTCTACACACAGAATAGCCTACACTCATTTCGTTTTCAAAATGAGATTGTAAGTTGGAGTTCTGGTTTTCCTGGTATTTCTAAAAATATTTTCCTACATCACAATGAATGAATGAATGAGTGAGTGAATGAATGAATAAATGAATGAATGAACGTGCTTTATTTCCTCCATTAAGACGCAGAGTACATATATGAAAACATCTCAGGATAAAATATCAAACATATTCACATATTCAAATATAGTCTCTGACATAGTCTGTATAGATACGTAATATTTGATAAGCATATAACATAATGGTATATTGAAATGTTTATAGTACAGAATAATAACAGTTATCTCCATGTTTTCATGGCTGACTTCATATGCCACTGTTTCACGCCAGATAAAAATACAGAAGTAAAGGAGGTTTGTGTAGTAAAGGAGTATGTGTGTCATGATAAAATGTAAACAAAGAGACTGTAGGTTCAAAAGCCTTAACATGCGTTGCTCCAAACCTCAGCTCGTGTTCATGCCTATCCATGGTAATTTCTTCGGCAATCTAATCATAAAGGCAGACAATTGGTGTTAATTTTCTCAAATGAAAACACTATGTCAACTGGAGAATCCGTGTGTTATGGTTGACTGGTGAATTGTAGAGTCTTAGACAAAATACATTTACCTTTCATCTCAAAGTTATTTTTCGTCTCAAAGTGAAGTAAGCAATTTGTCATTTCCGCTAACTGTAGTTCAAATGGTATTGACTTTACAGTATTCGTGTATGTCTACTTTGTTATAAAAGAGTAATCAACTTAAGCCATAGATGACTTTATTCCATAATCAAGAAATCACTGGGAAAGAGAGTCCTTTGTGCCATTTCGATTACTTATGTTATAAGCATGTGTATATGTATTATCTGTATCAAAGAGTTACGAGCAGGTATTCGCGTAAAGGTGATAATTACAAGTGTTTGCGCTTGTTTCGATAACTGTAGTTCTTATTTCTCCCAACATACGTGACCCGTGAAGATCCGGGGTAGAATAGGTCTTCAGCAACCAATGCTTGTCATAAAAGGCGACTATGCTTGTCGTAAAAGGCGACTAACGGGATCGGGTGGTCAGGCTCGCTGACTTGGTTGACACATGTCATCGGTTCCCAATTGCGCAGATCGATGCTCATGCTGTTGATCACTGGATTGTCTGGTCCAGACTCGATTATTTACAGACCGCCGCCATATAGCTGAAATATTGCTGAGTGCGGCGTACAACTTAACTCACTCACTCACTCCAAATATACGTGAAGATCCACGTTCAACTGATCTTCAGCCCACCTGTCTGTCATAAAGGACGACTAACGGGAATGTGTGGTCAGGCTAGGTGACTACGTGATACATATATCTACGTTGCGGATATAGGTGCCCATGATGTCAACCACTAGACTGGTTGGTCAATATTCGATTATGTACAGAACACCGTCTGTATAGCTAGAATATATCCGAGTGTCAGCGTTAAACGTCAAGCAATACGCTCAGTATTTCTCTAAATTACGGTGTTACATGGTCAGTTGTTATTCTTCGCCAGCATCGATCGTTTCAATGTCGGTGTGTCCCAGCTAAAATATTGATAACTGAAGGATTAACCGTTTCAATGTCGGTGTGTCCCAGCTAAAATATTGATAACTGAAGGATTAGCCGTTTCAATGTCCGTGTGTCCCAGCTAAAATATTGATAACTGAAGGATTAACCGTTTCAATGTCGGTGTGTCCCAGCTAAAATATTGATAACTGAAGGATTAGCCGTTTCAATGTCGGTGTGTCCCAGCTAAAATATTGATAACTGAAGGATTAACCGTTTCAATGTCGGTGTGTCTCAGCTAAAATATTGATAACTGAAGGATTAACCGTTTCAATGTCGGTGGGTCCCAGCTACAATATTGATAACTGAAGGATTAACCGTTTCAATGTCGGTGTGTCCCAGCTAAAATACTGATAACTGAAGAATTAAAATTTAATTCACTTATTTGACTGCAATACAGGAGCAGTAAACATTTGGTTTCATCACGTTGACAGATCTTCCAATATCACAATGATGTGGACCGTAGTTTTTCTGGGCGTCTTGGGCGTCTCCATGGCGAATGTAATGATGCCAGAATATCAGAACACCATGCTTCAACTACACAACGAGGGACGCCAGATGATGGGTGAGGGAGATTTCCCTAATGAGTACGGAGAGGAAAGCTATCCCTTTCTCGTAAGTAGTTGAAACTACTGTCCCTTTTCATGACATTAGACAAAGCATTTCAAAATATTGTTGATTTGATTACGTATATGTGTTGTTTTCTTCCTTTGTTTCTTTAACCATATCACTCGCAGCTTTACGAATCTGTCAACAATCTGCAGCATTGCATCATTAAATTATTTCACATGAGGAGTAATGGAGTTTAAGGTCGCTTTCAAAATGTAGATGTGTATGCATGTATGTATGCGTGTATGTGTGCGTGCGTGCGCGTGTGCATGTGTGGATGGACTGATGTGGATGCTGCTTGTACGAGCCGAATGTCGATCGGGGAGATAAGAGAGTTTAAACAGCGTTCGTGTTATGTTAAGAAGTCACATACCGAATGTTTGGTGAATGCATTAAACAATGATATGGAATTTCCATGCACTTCCTGAAAGGAAATTAATAAAAGAGATTGCACTGTACCAATACGAAGGTTTATATTAGATTAGAAGAACTGCTTATTCACACTTTCCCCAATAAAAACATCCGGATTCATGTTGTCAAACAAAATAGCAGTTTTTGAATTTTGTCAACACGAGAACATTACTTCATGCATGAGCATTCGTTTCACATTTGTTATATTTCAAATCAAAATCAAATGTATATTGCTGTACGAAATGTCGGCCCTGGCACAGTCTAGTAAGCATTTAGACAAATTGGCACTGGTCTCGTGGATAAATCAGATTGCTTCTTAAGCTTAAATACTGTTTGTTGCAGAGATGGAACGAAGAATTAGCAAGAGAAGCCCAGAGATATGCAAACAGATGTGAGTTCAGATACTCATCAAGACCCGAGTTCGGCGAGAACCTCTACATTGAGCAGTCGTCCCGATCGGAGGAAGGGGTCATGAATAGAGGCTATAACGCTTGGAGGAACGGGGTCGACTCATTCCGCTTCGATGACAGGGAATGCTCTCCTTCCCAGAGCTGCTATTACTCACAGGTATTGTTGAGAATCAAAGGTGCACTCTACTATCTACACACATATATTACAAACTTATTTTACATTACACGTGGGGTAGGACTGACTTTAAGTGTTTTGCAAACACTGGGTGTTAACGCTGTCTGATGATGATTCGTAAACACAATCAGGCCAAACAAATTTTAGATTGATTTTGTACTTACAATCCCTTTCGGCATTTGATGGTTGAAGGTGTTCATGTTTATCGCATAGGTTTTCTAAAGATGTCTACTTAGATATTTTCCTCAGAGCATTTCGTTCGAGTGGCTTTCCTTAACCGTCTCCCTGTTGTTCTGTATTCTACCAGGGCGGTGGGGTAGCTCAGTGGTTAAAGCGTTCGCTCGTCACGTCGAAGATCCGGGTTCGATTCCCCACATGGGCACAATGTGTTTGGTGTCCCCCGCCGTGATATTGCTGGAATATTGCTAAAAGCGGCGTAAAACCATACTCACTCACTCACTGTATTCTACCAGTACCCCAGTATGCCGAGTTTGTGATGAGTGCCGGGTACTGAGTCAGAAATGGTTACAAAGTGTTATCTGGATGACTACCTGTAATCATAACCCAGTTGGTAATCATTATAAAATAAATATCATTGAAATCATTATCTGTATGACACGTGTCCCAATACTTACAGGCTGACGATAGGCGAGTAACAACGTTATTCAGCTATATCTCAACCGAACATGCATCTCCTCTAGTCGGTTCATTGGCGTTCGTTCTCCTTTTAGTTATTCCGTCAATACTAAATTCAATAATTGGAATCATCACTACTTGATGGTCATTTCAAAACAAAATGCTAAAGATTCCTATGGACTGAACGGGGTTTTGTCGTTATTATTTATGATATTCTAATCAGTGCAACGTCTATAAATGGATTTATCATCCAGGTCAACTGGGAGGAGACTCGGGAATTTGGCTGTGCAATGAATAACTGCGACTATATGTCTCAGTTCCAAGGTTACAATGACGTACGGTTCCTGGTGTGTTACTATGATCCCAGGTAAGTATTTGTCCTTTAATCTGCCTGTCCGTGTGTGGTCATTCACGGCCCACAGATTCCAGTGGTGTTTGTTCATGCAAGCAGCGACCCATTGGGTTACCGTGACATGACAAAATAGTGAGTGTAACGCCACAGCCTACAACCAGAAAGTGACTGGATCATGTAATTCGAGAGTATGTTTTCAATAATAATGGTCCGAGTGTGATCTTGTCAATCAGAATACATGTACTACTCTCTGAAGGGAATTGCTGAAATGATTTCGAAAGTGGAAGTAGACACTCTTTTCTGCACGTGTAATATTCACTGTGTTCTGTGATGTTGAATTCATTAGATGTTGCATTCAGATCCTCAACAATACCAACATTCATATTAATAACTTCTTTTAATTCCATGCCTTTGGTATATTTCACTTCCATCGCCCTTTCCAGACATAATATATGTTACTTCATGTTCCAGGGCTAACTGGATGGGAGATGAAGCTTACGAACCAGGTAAATGCCAACATTTTGAAATTCAACAACTGGGTTGTCTTTACTAAAGTAAAGATTTGATACAAGTCGTAATTGCAATTATTACGTGTTTCGCTGCTGATCTAACGGCGTATTGAAATCAAGAACGCCATCTGACTATAGAAGATGGTTAAATACTTTCCTCGTTAAATATATGTTCGTCCACAAGTTAGGAAAACATAGCATTTGGCACAGCAAAAAGAAAAATGTGTAGACATCATGTTTCTGTGACCCCCAACCCTTGATGTGGTTGATGTGATGTAATTTTACTGTACACATATCCTACCTGTAATTAGTAGGAAACCGACCTCACTTTTTATCTTTGGGAATAACACATATGTTCACAATACATGTACATACAATGCAGATGGATAGATAGATAGATCGGTAGATAGATAGATAGACAGATATGGGTGTGCGTGAGTGTATGTGTTTTCAGGATGCTATCGAAAATTAAGGAATTCGTCTTTTTACAAGATATTTCAGGCATCGTTTGATGTTTGTTTGATTTATTTACAGCAAAATAGAGGCTTCGTACGATGGATACTACTGGACGCCTTTCGACCGAATGTTGCCTGTTCGAAGTGTTTAAATAAAGCAAAGTGATTGCAAAAGTAGCAAACACAAACAATGCCGAATCTGTTTTATGTTATCTGAACCAGGGTTTGTGCCAAGGTCAGTTTAGTTCTAGTTAGTTGCTTACAACACTCCTGTAGCCGTGAATCGGAGGCCGGTGACACCACTCTCTCGCACGATTTTTGTTGGTTAGTTTGTACTTCAGAATATCGCATTCAGCAGTTTTCCATCTTAATGACGACAGTCTGTAAATAATCTGTCTCCACCAGACTGTCTAGTGCTAGAAGTAATGAGCATCGGTCTATTCAAATAGAATTCGATGGCCTGCATCAACCAAGTAAGCGAGCCTGACCACCCGATCCAATTAGTCGCTTCTAACGACAAACATGAAGACCAATTCTAACCCGGATCTTCACGGGTCGAGGCAGTTACTAAGAGATACAGGACAAAGATGCATATTTTACACGAAATGTATTAACCCTATGGTTATGGGTTTGCAGAATCGAACCAGCCACCCGAGGGACACAGTGAGAGCTTTGGAGATATATATCTCTTGTTCACAACCCAGTTTACTTCCAATATACATAAGTAGTCATGATCACCGTACTTAATCTGCAATAATGGAAATTTAAAAGTACATATGAGGATTTGAATTTGTAACAACGTTATACCGTGATGACGGAACTACATAGCGCATGTCCATAACCGGATTCCGATTATCATATTGCTTTGCAACTTCAAACTTAGTAATTGTGAGCAATATCTATACTGATGTCATCACCGCATGTTCACTGAAACAGAGTAAGTATATATTGTACACAGTAACTACACTCATGAATCCCAATGGTATATTTACGTTAATAGATCAGTTAAACTGTCCTGTTTATCTGAACACGATTTTATCTGAACACGATAATAATTCCTCAAGTGAGTCGGGGCCAGGCGGACCTTCCGATTCCATCTGTGCCTTTTTAAGACAGTCATCGGGTGTGGAATACTGTTAACTCAAATTGGCAATGTCCAGACACACTTAACCATGTCTAGACCTACATTCTTTTCTACCTTGCGCTGCAGATATTACAAAGTAAATAAAGCGATAACAGTCTTCCATAATCACTTAAACTATCTATTAACAATAGAATCCACTGTAGATCTAAAGCATCATAAGCAAAAAGTGAGTGTATCTTTCCTGATCAGCAGCAATCGCCCGTAAAATGAAACAAAACAACAAAAACAAGTCAATTGTTGATGAAACACTAAATGTGTATGGTGAAGGTCAAACTTGGAACTCGAATCGGATACTATTTTTATAGTTTTTGATAGACTGCCATGTCCAGTTTGCAAAGGCCCTTGTACAAGGCTTCCTTAACGTGTTTACTAAAGCATTCAAATCCATTGACATTATCAAACACATTATTCGAGGTTTCTTGAAGTCCATTGTCCTCAATAACATAAGGTGAAAATGTGGTGAAGAAACATCAAAACCCCTGGTATTTGGGTGAAGTTCATCAGGCCAAAATCAAGAAGGCTGATGGGCGGTGGCGAAAGACAAGATTGGAGATTGACAGACAGATTTTCAATTCAGGTAAAACACTGATTATTTCAACCAATTCATTGTCTCCCAATTGCAGAATCCAAAAGCGCAATTCACTACCATGTCTTTTCGGATGGGTAAGACTGTAGATCTGCAAGATACGGAGTTTCCTTAGTGCGTGTGATCCAAACCCTTTGCCTCACACAGGCAGTACTCCAGTAACCATGGAAGCATTTACTCCATTTCACTCCAGTGAAATACTGAAGTTGATCCAAAGTTCCAAACCAACATCCTGTCAGCTTAATCCCATACCTACCAAGTTGTTTCTGAAAGTCCTGGACTGTCTCCTGCCTGTTATTGCATATATTGTAAACCTCTGTTTGACTTCAGGACAAGTCCCAAAATGTATGAAAACTGCTGTCATTAGACCGCTGATTAAAAAGTCTAATCTTGATCGCAACAAACTGCGAAGTTGCTGGCCGGTATCAAATCTGACATTTTTATCCAAGATCTTAGAGAAAGCTGTTAACACAAGATTGCTGGATCAACTTCGATCTCGGCGCCTGCTTGATAAGTATCAGTCGGCTTACAGAAGTGGATTCAGTACAGAGACAGCTCTCAATAAAGAATTCAACGATTTGAGAACCAGTGTGGATGACGGAAATGTTGCGCTTTTGCTCGTGTTAGATTTATCAGCGGCATTTGATACTGTTGACCACACCTTGCCAATAGATTGATTTCATACTGAATATGGTTTAGACGGCATTGTTTTGGACTGGTTCCGCTCGTACCTGAGAGACAGATACCAGAGAGTTAGCATTAATGCTACATCATCTGACAACACTCTTTTGACTTGTGGTGTACCCCAAGGTTCGGTACTGGGCCAAGTATTATTTACGCTTTACAGCAAGCCTGTCTCACAAGTCATTAGTAACTGTGCCATCAATGATCATTCTTTTGCTGATGATACGCAATTGTACAATAGTTTTGCTCTTGATGACCAATCACAGAAGTCAAGACTAAGTGCGATGGAAGACTGAACATCCAAAGTTAGCGCCTAGATGAACGCGAACATGCTGAAGTTAAAGAACGATAAGACAGAGGCTTTGTTCATAAGACCTGACAAAAGGCTGCAAAAGATCGAAGCAACTCATATCACAGTCGACAGTGATGAAATCAATATTTCGACAGATGCTAGAAACTTGGGTGTGAAGGTAGACTCATCACTCAACATATACAAGCACATCAATGACCTCGCCAAAAAATGCTACTTTCACCTCCGAAACATAGGTAACATACGCCACCTTCTCAAAGAACAAACAGCTGGAGCACTTGCACGTTCAATGATCCTAGCCAGGATTGACTATTGTAATAGTCTGCTTGTAGGGGCTCCAGCGCAGCAAATCAGCGGCTAGAATTGTCACACTGTTACATCACTCCAGTACTCAGGTATCTCAACTGGCTGCCGGTCAAAAGAACGGATGCATCATAAGATCCTCACCTCACATATCAGTGTATCAATGATAAAGCTCCAGGTTATGTGTGTGATCTAGTAGAAGACTATGTCCCTACAAGAACTCTCCGTTCCAATGAACACATGCTACTAAAGGTCCCCAAAATCAGGCTCAAGACATTTGGCGGAAGATCCTTCGCATATAATGCTGCCGTTAAAAGGAACGCTCTCCCAAAGGCTTGTTTCAAGAAGCATCTTAAGACCTACCTGATCAACAGGAATGGATTGTAAGCACACATGTGATATCTATGAACTCTGTTAGCGCTTTGAGCACACTTTGGTGTGGAGTTTAGCGCAATATAAGAATCCACATTATTATTGATGTCGTGATAATCTCTACCTCGAAACAATTTTGAATTAAAGAAAAGACAGTCGTATAATGATGACGGAGTCTGTCTCCACTTACGAGGCTACATCAGGTTAACATTCGATCTCTCTACTCCAATCTGCGCTTCATGTAATCTAAGACGTCACTGAACTGCCATCCAATGACTGACTGACTGACTGAGTTTGGATTTACGCTTCTGTTAGCAATATTCCAGCAACATCACGAAATGGGTTTCACATATTGTACCAATGTAGAGATTCGAACCCGGGTCTTCGGCGTGACGAGTCAACGCTTTAACCATTTAGCTACCCCACCGCCCCTGCTATCCAATGAGTACACGTACCATTATCTGACAAATAATTGCATCAAATAGAAACAGTTCCTAAATTGGTTCGTTGGGTTCAACACCATGTCAGTGTAACCACGCTTCACAACAGCATGTTAGCTAAATTTTGGAACAATGCTGGTCAATACACGAGCAGTGGCATGGTGCTTGTGATATAATCGGAAACTAGGGTTCGAACCCACGATCAGTAGATC